ATATATATAAATAAAAGAAAATCATTACATTAAAATAACATGAACACATCTGTATAAGAAATTATGAGGTGTGGACGTCGGTATGGATGCGAAAACTTTTGTGTATCTTCACCGATAAATTAACTCACAAGAATTTCTGAAAAAGCATTTAATCGCGGTTTATTATACGGCATGCATGAAAACATTTCAAAAGGCAAATTTTGCATCAAGAAAACGTGTACAATTTGTTTTTGTCTGCAATATTTTGCAAATAAAAATGACTTTTTGTATGTCAAAAATATTGTAAAAAAACTTTTTTGACATTTCCAGAAGCAAAATTTATCATGTTAAATGTCTTGAAGCATCGTTTATGGTGAAAATACCTCGTTTGATGTTTTCTGAATGGACTTTACAACGCTCAAACGGAAGTCGCGATTAACCCTAGTACTACTAAGGGGGTCAAAAATGACCCAACCGTAGGAAAAAGAAATTTAATGGAAATATCTTGGTATTTTTCTGTTTCAAAAGTATGTAGCATTTTTCGCGGTTTTAAATTTTTAAGCCGGCCATTGTTGTGGCACGCACATAAAACGTGCCATAAGATGAAATCGTATTCATCTCGCAGAATTTGCTTTCACTTCAAATTTTCCTATCTGTCGCCACGTTAATCAATTAACATTAATTTCAAATAATGAAACAAATAATTCTATTATATCTTCGCATATCATTTCATCTTTCGTTCGTCTCTTTTCAATTCATCATTTAATCATAAATACTCAAACATCATTAATTAATTATAATCAATTATTTACTTCAATATGATCTCATCTTATTGCACGTCTTATGTGCATGCTATAACAGTAGTCGACTTTGAATTTAAAATCGTGAAAAATGCTACATATTTCTGGAACAAAAATACCAAGATATTTCCATTAAATTTCTTTTTCCTACGGTGGGGTCATTTTTGACCCCCCCCCCCCCCTTGGTAGTACGAGGGTTAAACATGTTTTTCACTAATACTTACCTGTTTGGGGATGTGAGTGTAGGCGAGGATACACAAAAGATTCACATTCACATCAGAGATAGAATCGATAGACCAGTTATTACCAGTGTGTATTTCTACAATGAATGTCGAGTCTTGAAATGAGAATATCTTTACAATAAGTCCGATTCATCGCATACTACTCTTTAGTTATAGTCGTTTGGATTCCATTTTCGAACCTTAGCAAGCTAATATTCAAACAGAATTTTTCTTTTCTAATATCATATTTATTTTGTTTGAAAATGTGTCAAATGATTTAAAACAGAGTATTTACCATTTATTTTCTATTCATGTTTTACTTTTTGAAAATTTTCCAATTTTATATATAAAATGAAAATATTAAAATATATTACATTTAACTTACCTTGACTATTAATTATGTGACTGTAAACTTATTGTGTATGTATGTTTTCGAGTAGTAAACAAAATTAAGGCATGAATAGTCTAATTTCCACTTCAGTGATTTTTGTTTTCATCATATAGTTTCTGTCACTCATCAAAATAAAAAATTTATTCGACTAACGAGTTTGTAAAATAATGAATCAAAACCTGTGAATTACGTTTCTTCTTATTATGATGTCAAAGCAATCAAAACATAATTCGATGTCTTTTTTTTTTCTCATAATCATTGATCGATCCAAAGTATTGTTTATTCGTAATATTAGATAATGATTTTATCCTAACATCGATCAATAAGTTAGAATGAACCATATCCTGAATATATTTATGATATGTCATTTCGTACTAATAAAACTATAAGGATAAAATGTACAGATACGAATGCAACCGAGCAATATGACTTAGTTACACTACTACGCATATTGATCCAAAGAGAACGGGTAAAAAACAACGTTGATAAATATAAAGTCGTCATAACAACATGAAGAGAAAAACAAGCAAATGTTTTTTAACCCATTGCGAATCATTTAATAGAACTTTTGTTCAATATTTATTTTTTGTTTTTTTTGAAAGTCAATGACTAAATCCTGATGTAAACGTAAAAGAATATTCATAATTTTCAAGTAAATATTTTTTTTCATAAAAGTAAAAAAAAGAAAAAAAGATAAAGCTGTAGGATAGTTCAGAAAAAAAGAGAATATCGCTTTTGCATAAAATCATCTCATAATTATGAGAAATCTTTTCTAGTTTTCTTCGCCTTTTTCATCAAATAGTAAGATTCTATCATCATATTTTTTTAAATAAAATATCTTTTATCTATTATTAAAATGATGCTTGATACAATTGTACTTTATGCTTTCCGAAGATGAAATAAACAGCTGATTTCTTTTTATTCTATATATATATATATGTATTCAGATCAATAAATAGATAACCGAAACAATAACAAGTACCTTCTTATTAGTTAGCTGTTTTTTTGGAGAAACATTTAGAAAAAATTATAATCTATCGAACTACGTTTTGGGTTTTTATTTTGAATATAGGTATGTAACTATGCGAAGTGTGACAAAATCAGATTGTAGCGACCTCATTATAATGTATTTTGTTTCTATTGATTAAAATCTCGAAATTTGCATGTGTCCATAACAAATGAGCACCTATATAGTCTCTTTATTCAATTTAGATTCGAAAATTCTCGATATTAACTCAGAAAAAAAAAGAGTCGAGACATGTAGCGTCCTCCGATATGTATATTTGGTATTGGTTCGATGATTCATTGGGGGTATGAACACATACTACTAGTAATATAATATGTAATCAGTAATCGATTCGTGTCTGTATATTATATAATTCTTCTTTCGTTTCGTATATACAATTTTTTCTTAATGAATAAAATAAATTTGTTGTTGGAATGATTATTATAAGAATGGAAAACATAGATTTTAATTGAATTAGATATTGTGAGATGAGACAATAACAAGATATTTCATGTTTATTGAACATCGTACAGTTGGTCTCAATAATTTCAAAGACTTGATAATCCTTCTAAACAATTATAATAAAAAGTAATAAAATGATTTCTTAGAGATTAAATTTCATCTTGTGTTGTCTACTTAACATCATAAAATTTTCACATATTCCTAAAACATTATTTATCCTTTTTGTTCTGTCACTTATGCATTATCAAGATATCATTTTTTTATTTTGGACTTTGATTTTGTTCTTTATCTTCTCTCGCTTTACAGCCACTATCACAAAAGAGCAAGGTATGTATACACACAAAAAGTAATGTGATAATGTAGAAGATATTGTTTCGAGTGAATATTGTTCGTAATTTATCAAATAATTTCAGATGGCATCATCAAGTAATTCTATGAAAAAATTACGAATGGGTATGATTGGTGGTGGTCCAGGTGCATTTATTGGTGCTGTTCATCGTACAGCTGCATGTCTTGATGGTGAAATAGAATTAGTTTGTGGTGCTTTCAGTTCTGATCCTGAAAAATCTTATGAAATGGGTAAACAACTTGGTCTTCCTACGAATCGTGTTTATGGTTCATATAAAGAAATGATAGAACAGGAACAAAAACTAGGAGGTAAGAAAAATTTTCATAATAGATTTCGTAGATTATTAACAAACAAATTATGTTTTATAATTATTTTAGGAATGGATTTCGTAGCAATCGTTACACCTAATCATATTCATTATGAACCTGCTGTTCTTGCACTTCGTGCTGGTTTTGATGTTGTTCTTGATAAACCTATATGTTTTTCACTTGATGAAGCTCGACAACTTTCACGAATTGTTAATGAAACTGGTCGTACTCTTTGTTTAACACATACTTATACAGGTTATCCAATGGTTAAACAAGCACGTCAAATGATTGCACGTAATGATATTGGTTTAATTCGTAAAGTATATGTTGAATATCCACAAGGTTGGTTGAGTCGTGACACTATTAATTCAAAACAAGCTAAATGGCGTCTTGATCCTAAACAAAGTGGTCTAGCAGGATGTTTAGGTGATATTGGTATACATGTTTTTAATTTAGCTGAATATATTACTGGACTTCAAGTTACTCATGTATGTGCAGATTTACGAACAGTTGTACAAGGACGTCAACTTGATGATGATGCTAGTGTACTTTTACGTTTTAATAATGGAGCAAATGGTGTTTTGATGGCTTCACAGGTACTTGTTTTTTACTTATTAAATTCTTTAATAATTTTTGTGTATTAAGATTTGCGCAGGTGAAGAAAATAATTTAAAAATTCGTGTTTATGGTGAAAATGGTTCAATTGAATGGCAACATGCAAATTGTAATACACTTACTGTTCGATGGTTGGATAGTCCTGCAGAAATTTATCGTACTGGTACAGAATATCTTTCACAAAGTGCAATTCATAATGCACGAGTACCAGCTGGTCATCCAGAAGGTTATATTGAAGCATTTGCTAATATTTATCGAAATTTTGGACGAACAATTCGTGCAAAAAAGAATGGTGAAACAAGTCTATCTGAAGAATGGAAAGATTTTCCTGGTGTTAAAGAAGGAATTCGTGGTATGGCTTTTATTGAAACTTGTGTAGCTAATAGTAAAAATGATAATGAAAAATGGACTGAATTAAAAGAATGAAGAAGAAATATTTGATGTCGTAAAACTACATCTATTATTTTTGAAATAAAAAAAAACAACAATAATAAATTATCAACATTTGTAACTATTTTCTTGTTCAGATAGATGATAATGTATTGGAAATGACAGAAAATAGAACCTATAACGTATAAAGATTATAGATTATGATGAACATTTCATTCTTCTCATGGTTGCATATCAATAACTTCAACTTTTTAAGCGAAGTATAATTTACGCGTTCTTTGCTACACTATCCATTCTCTATTGAAATTGAATTGCATCTATCTCTCAAAACAATACAAGAGTCTTTGATGCAATTTGTTTTTATTATTTTATTAAATATAGAAAAAACTGTGATATTTAATGAAGTTTTAACACAATTGTAATTTTTATCAATTGTTTGGAATTGAATGAGAGCTTAAAAAAGGATTAAAAATGGAATATTAAAATTTTCGTCGTTCCCACATATCTTCTAAATCTTTCGCTGAAATAACACTTGCTCGATGAGCTAAAATAGGTGGTTGTTCAATATAAAGTTCTTTCATATTATTTCTTCCAATTAACATCATTTTCAATTCATTCTCTTGTAAACGTGTTAGAAATTGTTTTCGTCGATAAATCAATGTTGGATTATTCAATAAAAATATTGCAACATACCATTTATGTCTTGCTTTCGATAGTCGTTTTGTGTTGGTCGGATAAAGATGATTGCGAAGAAGATGACTAACAAAATAAAGTAAGACAGGATGTCGATGTGCACATTCCACAAAAATAAATCCACAATATGCACTAAAACCTGAATCAATAGTCTCCAATTTTCGACCTAATGGTGAATAATCAAGACGACACATATATAGAACTCCACCAGCAATACTTCTCAATATACGCGTTATAGCAGCAACAAAACCCAAAAAAGCATCAAGAAAAAAATTAAAATATATAAATACCATAAATGCTCGTCGATTATTAATTGATAAAACTTCTCCGTCATGTTGTAGAAATATATATTGACCCAAAATTTTGTTTAAATACATTTTAAAAAAGACAAGAATTAAAGTAGGAATAATAATTTTAAGAATAGTTTCAAGAAATTTCACATTTCCATATGTTATCAATGCATCGATTGAGATTAATATAATAAAAAGAAAGATTGCTAGGAATATATAAGCTAATATAACATAACCAATTAAATAACCAGCAAAATGAAACGTTCCAGTAATATAATTAATATTTTCTGAAGAAAGACGCCGTGGAATTTCACTATCATCACCACGAAATGCTTGTAAAAGATTTCGACGAATACCAGCAAACATAACCAATAATTGTACAAGTGTTATAAATAATGCAGCAATAAAAGCAATCAAATACGATCGAACAAAATCAGGTAAAGGAAAATCAGACGATGGATTTTCATCTGCCTGTAAGTTAGGATCGGATGAATTTGTCAATTTTGAAAGTAGATTGACCACTTGTTGACTACTCTTACGGAGTGCATCAAGTGATGGAGGAACTTGTACACAAAACTATTCATTTTATAAGAAAAATATAAATGTATACTCATGAGGAAACATTTTCAATTGATCAATCGATTTTGAATTCAGACTCCGTGAAGAAAATAGACTCCAGTGAGATACAAGAAACTTCAAAAGGATAAATCTTCTTAGACCTTCTACCCGACGTTATATAACTTTAACTTTGAACTTGATATATATCAACAAATCAAATGACAGTATTTTCATTTGAGATTTTGTTTACAAATAGGTCTATTTGTCAATAGAATGTTTCCTTCCCGAAATATTAAAATCCGAAACATATCACCATGGAGGAGTTTTGAAGGGCGAGTGTTCGGAAGAAGAAATTTTTTTCTTCCGAACACTCTTCCTTCAAAACCCCTTCACGGTAATATGAATGACTTATATTCCACGCAAGATGCTAGAATTTTCTATTTTTTGGAACTTTATTATCTCAAGAAGGAAACATTCTACTGGCAAATAGATCTGTCTCTAGACAAAATCTTAGATCGAAATACTGTCATTCAATTTGTTGATATATGCCAAAGCCAAAGTTAAAATGTCTATAACTCTGGATAGAAGGTCTAAGAAGATTTATCCTTTTGAAGTTTCTTATATCTCACTGAAATTTACTTTATGCATAGAGTTCGAATTCAAAATCGATCGATCATTTGAAAACATTCATTCGTCAATCAAGTGACTTGCCTGGATAGTAAGAAAGTAAAGCAATAGAAAAATTGATGTATAAACAGAAACAACACGAGATGAGAAACGAAAATCATCTCGCCATGCATAAATAAATTGAAAAGTCTGAGAAAAACGATTTGTTGAAACTTTTATATTACTCATTCCAAATAATTTTTTAACATATTGTGCTTCAACTGAATATGGTAATGATGAATATAAAAGAGTTTTTTGCTCACGTGTTAATTGTTTGTCTCTCATATGTCTATGTCGAATTCGTTCGTAAAGTAAAATTGGTAGTTTAATACTAATATAAGCTAAACATAAATAACGAGGAATATCCTTTAATAATTGAAAGAATAATAACTTTGATCCTGTGCCATAGTATTGCAAATATATCATTGTTCTACCTCCTTTGGTTTTATTATAATCCAGCTCCGAAGGATAAAAATCATTACGACATAGACCAGTATAAACAATAGTAATACTAAAATCGAACCATACATATAAAGTAGCACAAATTAAACTGAACCAAGTATCAATGTAGACAGCTGCTAATGTTGGATAACATCGAAAACCAATGACAAAAACTCTTAGGATTTGAAGAAGATAAACTATTACGACACCTATTAAAATAGAATAAAGAGATTATAATTTATTGAAAGACAAATTTTAATAGGACATTCGATAAGAGTTATGAACTAAATACTAGTTTGAAATGAATTAGAAATATGATCGAATAACAAACCTTGATTTGATGATGGATTACTTCCATTCAATGCATCATTTGCAATATCTAATAATTCATCAGCAAAAATAGCAAATATCACAGCTGCCAATATTCGTTTGACATGAGCAAAGATGTCTAATGGTATTGGAATACCAATATAACCTTTACAATATTTACTTCCTTGAAATGAAACACGTTTTGTTGTTATAGTGAAAAGTAAAATAATGAAACAAGCTAGAGGAAAAGTGAATAGATTAAATTCAGCTCTCAAATCAATGATTCGACAAATTGAATGTTGTTTGAAAAAAATTGGTTGTGCTTTCTTAAATTTTTCGACAATTTCTTCATGGATTGGTTTTAGAATAGCCCATTTTATAATAAGTGTAGATGTAGCAAGCAAAAGAGTAGCAATACCAGTGATCCATGATAACATTTGACGAGAAGGTGCAAGATCAGCAAGCGAAATACGAGGAAATTTTCGATTGATGATTGAAATATTTTGCCTATGAGAATGAATATTGAAAAAACAAGAAAAACTTTTGAGAAGCTAAACTTGCCTCGAATCATTTCTTTGTGCTTTGCGTCTTTTACTGATGGAACGAAATAATATTACGCCATGAAAAAGTACTATCAAAAAGGCTAACAAGATGCCCAAAGTAATAACTTGCCAGCCGCTATTGGATACTAGAATATAAGATATAGTTAAGTTTTAATAATGATAATTATGAATTCACAAAACATTATCGTCTATCCAAAAACATAACGCATGTGGCTATTTTTGCAACAACACAAGAATTCGGAGGAGGCTAGAAAGCTGTGGTTTCCAATATTACAAAGAGAAGAGTCAATCGTATAAAAACATGCTATAATTTTGTAAGTTAGTGCTTGATCAATCAGACTGATTCTTTATGGACATGTTGAACACAATATTCTAGAATCATTTCTCAATTGAGCTTGATTGTTCATTTGACTTATAGAGAGGAAAAATTGTTCTTGCTCGATCCAGACAAGATTGACATTATTAGCTTATTCTATGCAAAAGTTATAAGGATTTTCATGACATTACCAATTTCAGCTGTCTCATATTAAATCACACTGAAAGACAAGAATCACTATTCCACTCAATTTAGCTGAAATGGGTGACCTCAGAAAAATCCTTATAACTTTTGAACGAATCAAGCTAGTAATGCTGGTCTTGCCTAAATTGAACGAGAACTATTTTTCCTACCTACAAATCATATTAGTATTCACGAGTGAATGTTCTCAACTGTTCTTGCTTTTCTCTGAAAACTATTGCCATTCAATATGTCATGATAAGTGGTATAGCAGTTTGTCTTGGTATGGTGTTTCGATCTTTGCTTGCCCAATTATGAGCATAGAATTGCTGAGAATCTGGATAATTGATTTTTCAGCTTAGGCTTCAGTCATAGTTAGGCACTAGAAAGATCCCAAAGTTTGAGCCAGAATGAACATATGCTTGCCAAGATGTTAACACTTAAAGAACGCCTGTTTTTAGGCTGTGTTTTAAAAGAAGGGCATTTCTATGACAAGCTGATATCTTGGTATGGATACATTTATTCAAGCTCTAAGTTTGGGGTATTTCTAATGATTATATAGTCTATCTGTAGCCAAAATTCTATTATCCAAGTTTTCAGTAATTCTGTGCTCATAGTACAAAAATCAAGTAAAATGCTCATGATCCAACAAGTGAAGATCAGAAAACCAAATCAAAACAGATTAGTCTCGATTGAATAATGATTTTAGAATATCATTTTCAAAATACCTAGTAAGAACTAACGTTATTAGCCAAGTCCTCACCAATAAAATTTCAACAAGTATTTATACTTCTGACCATAGTGAAACATCTTGTAAGCAAGATCTTGCCAAGATCTTTAAAAAATAATTTGTTCTTATATTTCTGCATCTTATTAGATTGACCTGTACCCAAGATCTCTGTAAGATCTGTTCCAGAATTTTATAATGTCAAAATTAGAAAAAAAAACAACTCTCAATATCTTTTCTCAAAATCTTGACGAAAATAATAGCGACATCATTGATTCATTCACTTAATCAAAAATTCTTGAATTGTTTGTAATTCATTTGCGGAAAACATTCTCATATGGTTTTTAAGTATAACAGATATGAAACAGGTTCTCAACAGTGAAGGCATCTGTTATCCAACACGATTAAAGATTCAAATAAAAAAGAGAAAAGAAGTAAACTAAACTAAACTGTATAAGGTATGATTAAAACTTTTTCGACTAGTTTACTGTATCTTTGTGAAAAATGTTATCCTTTTTCTGAGAAGAAGACTCACCATCAAACACAAGTTTTTGAAAATATGGGAGCTGTATAAGCTTTGTTTTTTAAAAATAGAAATTTTGATGAAAAATGGCAGACTGAAGAATGTTTGATGAAATCTTGAAATGAAATGACTTGTCCGTTTTATGTATTTTCTCTAAAGTAGTAGTCTCAAGCTGGTCTAGCAAGATTTTGACTTTAAAGCTGGATTACTATTCTACTTTTTAGATGATTTATAATTACAATTCTCTTCCTGTCGATTATTTCAATCAAATAAACTGTATTTCTAATAAAATTTAATTGTTGCTAATTAGTTAATTTTTTTTCTATTAATTTCTCTTTTCAACTGAAAGCTTTCATTCTTCCTATGGGTTTATGTAAATGAGATCATTTTTTGAATTTGTAAACTTATTCGTGTGAATTAAATAGGCTTTGTAATATTTTTTTATTGTTACAATATATTGTAATGAAGATGAGATGTTTTGTAAACGTTCAGATAATGTTTTTGTATATGAAATAAAAATTAGGGAACAATATATAAGTATCTGCAACCAAGATCAGTAGAAATGATCGTAAAAGACAAAATATTAGATTAAAGATCTTAACAATCTGAATCCAAGATATAGTCACAAATCTTGGTACAAGATCTGTTCACTTTTCTGCACCTTGCATTTTGGCCAAAATCTTGTTTACAAGATGTTCGCCTAGAGTACTCTTCTCCTTCTAATGGTCATACATATTATATTGTTGGACAGATGATAATTATGTTAACTTTTATATTCAAATATATCTTTCTTTTGTTTTTTTTTAAATAAATTACTTAATTCAACTCACGTTTATTGCACAATGTTCCATTCCACCAAAACTTGCAAACACATGTCCATTCACCATTTAAATTATTACGACAGTAACCATTTCGTCCACATGGATTATAAACAGAACAATCTTTAAATTACACATAAAACAAAGCAATCAATCTATCACGATCATTATAACACTTACTTTGCCTTAAAATCACTGGTACTGTAGTGACATTTACATCAATCGATTGATTTCGTGTCATCATGAATGATATTGTCGAATGCACTATTCTTTTTTATGACATTAGAACAAAATGATGCGATAACATAATCTGAGAGCTTATATTTTACTTGATATTTGAAACTGCTTCTTATATAGCACAGTAAAAATGTGATGTCGCTTGCATTTGCTCTTTATACACACACTTAGAACGAGAGTCGTTTCTTTTTATTTTTGTCATGTCAACATTTGAGAAAAAAAATCGAAGCATATATATATGTTTTCTCATGATGATTAACATAACTGATGAATTTTAAAAAATTAAAAAAATATTCTTCTGATTCAACCAAATAATATATTGAAAATACTTATAATTGAGAGTATATCAGACTCTCTACTGACAAATACATTTAAACGTACTCCTACCCTTTCCGAATGTTAAAATCAAACTTTTTTTTCAACGTTCGGCATAGCTCCGAAGTCTCCTCTGTCAAATGCTATATAAATGAGAACTCTTCATTGTTTGGTAGTAGTTTTATTAAATTCAACTCTCGAAATCCTTAGCAGAAAAACTCGGGCAGCGATTATTCTTTGTATGCCAAATTATCCTAATGATGATTTCTAAAGGTGTTGAGAGCAAAGGGTCATGGATCTCTAACACAGTCAGTTTTCAATCACTTTAATTGGAGACAAAAAGTCGTGATACATACTGGAATTTTTTTTCGAACTCAGTGTCTCTACAAAAGTGTACTGAACCATCCCCGTTTCTTCAATCAAGCTGAAACGTTTTTTTTACAGGCGTTGGACACTGTCTGAGGTGCCCATTTTGTTTTTGTTTTGAAAAATATCGTACCGTTGATTTTCAGTAGATTTTACAAAAACAGAGACATGTATTTATTGAAGGTACGCTCAGTATTTTTATGTTTTTATTCGAATCAAAGGAGACAAAAAGAAACCAAAAACAGTAGGCATCCCAAACAGTGTCTAATGCCTGTAAAAAGAGACTCCAGCTATATCAAACGTATTGTCGCTGAGAAAGCGGCGCGATTTTTAGCTTTTGCAACCCAGAGATTTCCTAGAAGGAAGTATTTGAAGTCTATGACAAACTTTACTCTACTGATCGAGATCTATCTACCCTAAAAGTTTCAATATCAGATTTTGTACAGAAATCAAATGGTAATGATAAACAGAAAAGCGGCAAGAATAGTTCTGTGATGATCATTAGATGATCAAATAGTCTCGTCTGTATATTATTATTCGCAGAAATACGAAGAAAAACGTTCAGGTGTTGCTTCAGAATCCTTTTTAATAAATTCGATACCCAACCATATGAATAATACTATTTATTGCAAAAGAAGAACAACATTTCCACTAGCAGTTACTGTTTAAGATCGTATTAATGCTTTTTTGCAAGTAGAAGAGATTAAGAATAAATGTGATCAATCGGATTATAGTTTTATGTTGATCATGATTTAGATATTCAAAAATAATAAACGATGTTTATCAAGTGTTTATGATCAATTCAAGGTTATCGAGACTTCTATTTTAAATTTACCTAAATTTTCATTTGTAAGAATGTAGAATATTGGAATAGTATCTGAAGGAAATTATACATCAGAAATATGAACTTTCCATGTTTTTTTTATTTAGCATTAAAATAAACACGAAAAAAAACCCAGTACAATTTCAAACTCTCATGGAGAAATAAATTGTTGATCTATCTAAAGAATAATGTTTTTTTCAATACAATTTCATAATATCCCTCTAAAGAAATCGATAAACCGAATGAAATATACAATATTAATAGTCAATTTATGTTCTCTCACTAGTTTATCATAACATAATTAACAACGATATGGCAAAAATATGAAAAAAATTCCACTATTATCTTGAAAAGAACAACAAGATTCATGACAAAATATCATTTATTCTTTCTCTCTCTTTCTTTTTTGCGATGTAATATAGATAAGATAAATACACCAGTCTTTAGTCAACCTTGTATTTTATAAAATAACCGCAACTAAGTTGAAAATAACTTTTCTTTGTGCAAATACACTCGTATTTTATATTCGATTATAACAATGAATAATTCTCGAAAATTTCAAAATGAAGAAAATCAATCATCATTTGATAACAAGGTAAAAGCTCCTCAAATTTTGAAACAACAAGTGTGTATGTTAGGTAAATAAAATACATTGATATAAAGACTAATCATTCAATTTTGTTATTGTTTTTTTTTCTTATAGAACGTTATATGTTTGTTGAAAATGAAAAACTTCAAGGATTAATTGCTTATCAACACAATAATTCCATAATTGATTTATCTTGTCAAAATTTAACTGATTATGATATGGGAATTATTATTCAACATGCTGTTGTTGGAAAAAAATGTCAAGGTCTTAATTTATGGGGAAATCAATTTACACATGAAAGTATTTCAATTCTTGCTGATATATTAGAGAAAAATAAAGCATTAAAAGAATTGGATCTTTCATATAATCATATATCGGATACAGGTGTTAAAATAATATCCGAACTTCTTTCATCAAATACTTGTGAACTTCAAGATATTGATCTTTCACACAATGGTATTACAGACAAAGGTACTATCTATTTAGCTAATATGCTTAAGAAAAATCAAACATTAAAAGCATTAGTATTGAATAATAATGATATAACTGACAATGGATTGAAACGATTAGTTGATGTACTTGCTAAAGATAATACTAAATTGACACAATTAAAACTTGAATCAAATCCACGTATAACACATATTGGTGTTGATTATATATTTCGTTCATTAAAAAATAATAAAAATTTAGAAGAATTTTACGTAAGAAATTGCAGTGTTTTGGGTCAAGATTTACAGATGTTACAAGAAAAGGCGATTACATTTGGAATTTATGTTTTTATATAATAAGATATATTTAATGACTAAATCGATTATTTATTTATTTTTTATTACTTTTTTTGTGAAATAAATTAATAAATTATTCAGGAAAACGGATAATAATATCTATTTTCTTTTCTTTTTTTTTTTTTTATAAATTTTTCACTTAGATCTTATCTTATTTACAGTAAATGTTACATCGACAACCTATACCCGGGTGGGCAAAGAACGAGTAAAAAGACTATTTATGACAACACGCTTTGTCTAGTCTTGTTCTCAAAAAGTCCTAGCACGTGGCTAGTCCGAAATCATTTATCGTCCATAGTGTACGACCTGACTACTTAATTGACGGACGTCATTTTGTTTGTTATGTCTAGTCTTTTGTAAGAAAAAGACTAGACATGTTGTACTGTCCTTGACATCTGTCCAACAACATTTGTAAATAATAAAAAAAAGTGAGGGCATCCACGACGTTGCATACGACGAGTTTCAGTCTTATGTACTGATCTGGTTCGGAATAGTCTAAATTGAAATATGTATGGATGAAAGTTAGATTCGAACATGCATACAATATATTACTTACCTATCGTTTAGCCGATTGAATTATACGATCAAGTGATCAAC